GTTTTGGATTCATATTTGTGGCATTTAGAATAGGGAAAAATCTATTAAAAAATTGAATAATCTTGTAGCCCATTGCTGCATTACAGTCTGCCCATTTTAGGGTCCAGTCCAATTTTCATTGAGGTCAATATTCATATTCCTATTCACCTCAGCAGAAGTTAATCAGACCCTTAGTGACTCTTCATAGCCATAAAGGCTGCTTTTAGTCTCACATATATGAAGTTTTCCTGAGTGAAAAAGTCAGACTTTAATTACTGACAAAAGACTAATAATGCAATCACAGTATTTTAACTCCAGTGTATAGTGCAGTATTATCTCACCTCACTACATTGACTATGTTTTTCTGCTTCCCACATACAAAAATGTGCAGCAGTATTCATGAGAAATATTTGACAGAGGTGATGAAATATGAAACTGCTAAAATCAGAGCAATGGCAGAACAAGAGACTAAACTACAAGATCTAAGTGAAGTTCATGTTCACAACAACCTTGTGAGGCTGAGTTTCACACTTACGATACATATATTGCCATTTGCTGTGATCATAAATTATATTTCATGGTGATATTAACTCTGCTGCAGTAAAAATAATAGTGCAGTTTTCTGCAAGAAAGGTGATACCATTGCCAATTTTAGGAGTGTTTTCACTTCATTTAATTTTTCTAAATAAGCCATCATCCAACTCAGTCCCAGGAACAAAACAAAACATTTTTCAAATGACAAGACTCCTTGCTGAATGTTAAAAAGAAGAGAAGCATATTTGAATCATTTAACTTTTCTGGTATTATGGCCAGAACCATAAAAAACATAAAAAATGCCTTTCTGTTGATTTCAGTGGGCTTTGAATCAGGCTTTGAGGGAGAAAAAATGTTAGCCAGTCATTTCTAGATTGATTGTTATAAGCATTGATGAGGAAGGAAAGAAGAGATTGGTATTATGACTCCAATAATAAATTCAACATAGCAGCCAAACTCCTGTTGACTTCAGTAGGAGTACTGAGTTGAAAGGGAAGTATAGTATGCACTAGGAATCTAGTTCAGCAAGTGCTGGGCAAATTTTGTGAGATGAGTAGTTGAGAATGCTAAATACCTTGGAGGTCCTGGACCAAAGTTGACATTTGCGCTGTTGTACCCGGAGTTGCTAATGCTCTAGATGTGCATTTTAATTATTAGAGCTTTTGTACTGAATTAATTCATTTTCTACATAGTACATAGTTATGATAGTATGAGTATTGTGCAGGTTTCATTTTGGTAGGTTAACACAGATATAAAACTCATGCAGACTATGAGTTTAGACTTATAGTCATAATAAATTGTGGTTCATGCATAGATAGCAAGCACATATATGGGCATTAAGTGGTCTTGTACCTGTAGTTTACACATGAAAACTATGGAAGAGCAATTTATCTTCACTGTTTATAAATTCCTCATGTTAAGTAGACTCCTCCCCCCACATAGCTTGTATCGATATTCATCTGTGGAGGACCACAAAATAAATAAATTGGTTTACATGATTTCTTCAATATATAAAAATATAAATGCACTTGCAACTTCCCCAGCAGACTCTAGTATATAAATAAACTGAATTCAGGATTGTAAAACTATTTATTATCATCTGGGACCAGATCTATTTCATGATGACTATATCCATTCAGAAAAAAACACATAATAATTTAGCCTTAAGGAATAGTGATCTATAGAGTGTAATTAGAAAACATGAGCCCGAACCTCAACTGGTATCAATTAACATTAATGGAGCTATAACAATTTACATCAGCTGATGAGCTGGCCTCTTGTCTCAGCTTCTTTACCAGCTCTTGCTTCCTCTTCTGTACATCATGAGAATATCTTCTTTACTGAGTTTACTTCAAGTTTCCTCCATTATCTTCAGGAAACTTTTAAAAATCTCACATTCAAGGTATATTGGGCACCCCTGCTTTATGTTTATTTTTCTGCTTTGCTACTGTTCAGCATTGAGTACATTTGTAATATTATATGTAGGATTAAGGGATATTTTTTCAAATCCTCAGTCCTCAGAAATACCAATGCACACCTAACCTTCATATTTGCATATGTGAATCAGAATATGTATCTGCAACTACTGAATTGTAGCTTTTGTACCTATGGCTCCATACAAGTGCATTTTTATGGCCAAACTTTAGATGCCCAGTTTTGGAAATGTGGTTCTAGTAGATAAGGTTCAGTGAAGATAAATACAACTGCAATGGCTTAATAAAGAGCACATTGTATGCTAGTGTTAAAGGTTGTTGTTGGGGTTTTTTTTTCCACTTTGACATACTGGTCAGGACATTGAGGTCTGCTTATGTGTTGATTTCACTGTAACAAAAGTTACAACTTTTTCTTTCCTCAACCAAAGCTTTAAGCAGTTCCTTATAAGCCTGAAGCTGAGGCCGTAGCTATGTTTTCACAGCTTTTACTGAATTATGGTGTGTAAAGTCCATACAATGCAGTCTTATTATATCAAAAGTAATCTGAAGTATGAACAACCTTCTAATAATATTTGCTTAGTAAGTCATACTGCTGATAACAAACAATCTAAGTCAGATTTCATTGGATTGAATGTTTTCAGCTGTGAATAACTTCTGTCAGACAATGCATGCTTTAAAAGCTAGCTACTTATTCTAATCTCTTATGAACTAGTTATGCTTTCTCAAAGAGATCTTCTGTGGTACAGCTTTGTTATATGAAAATTGCTAAGAGTAGTTTTAATTTGTGATTTTATTATCAATAATGGCACACAAGCTTTTCAATATAACTGCTTCAGTCCTCTACTTTTCCTGATACATGTATTTTATGAAGGGCAATGGCTGCCTTCTTATCTAATTTCTGGTAGTTTTTCAGTTTGCGTACTATGGGGAACCATTTCTGGTACACAACCACAATAATGAAGTCAAATGCAGTTTCTTTGTTTGGCAGGATTGTTGTTGGGAGCACTTTCTGGTTTGCATTCTTAAGCCTTAATGTATTCAAATCAAGGTAACCATTCAGAGAGCCATATGCAAAAATGATTTTTAGAAAATTAATAATTCTAAAAATGATATGAACAATGACTTTGCTTTTTCTTGTGTTTCTAAATTAATATTGTATTGGGATTCCTCTAGGAAATAGTTAGGTCTAGATTGTGCCTTTAGCCCTCTGTAAAAGATGTGTATAAATGGTACCATGCTAGGACTAGCCTGGAGAGGTACTGTGACTCAGATGAACCTCCTCTGCTTTCCCTTTATTCTCCCCCAATCTTACCCATGGCTTGGCAATTCTCTCAGCCCCCCTGACGGTACTGTGTGTTCAAGTTATAAAGAGATCACTTAGCTGCAATATCATTAAATCTGATTAATATTAGATTTAGCAGTCTTTAGTGATGAAAAAGTGAAATAATTCTCTTCTGTGGTAATGTAATATATTAACATTAATACCAGACAATACTATCAGTATATATTAATTACTCAAATACAATTGGACTTGATTAATCAGAAGAATACAAAAACTAAACTTGGTGACTTCTCCAGATAAAAATCAGTCTTCTAGTTGTGTCAGACTGCCTAATTCTTCCTCTTTCACTCTAGTAAAATGAAATACATTCATAACACAGTAGAAAGAAAGAAAACAACTTTCAGCTCTTAAGTGGAGTCTTAGGTCTAGTAATGTAATGAAGATCCCAAATCACAGATCAAAGACAAACACATTATGGAAACATATATTGAATAGTTATTTGTCTAGAGAAACAAATGCAATATAGTTTTCTAGAAAGAAATGTTTTTTCAGTGAGACTGGAATAATTAACCTTCAATACTGAAAGCATTAGCAATTTTTAAATTATGTATCTGATTAGTAAATCAGTTGGGGATGCCTGCACATATACAGAGTGTTTTGGAAAAATACACTATTATCCTAGGATTAATCATTAAAAGGGTATGAAATTCCTTAACCAGTACAGTTACACACATTCCATATATATAAAGCAGTTTTATAATTTGATCTCAAAAAGTACTAAGCGCATGTACCATGGTACAACTTTATTAATCTGGCACATTTAATCAACACCATTTCCCATGATTGGTCACATAATTGAGAGTCAGTTTTAATTTCTGAATATTTTTCCTTTTTCAAAATATAAACAAATTGAATATAACTTAAAATATCCCCAACAAAAATAAATACTTACCCATAAAACATGTTTATTGTAACTTGTAACACAAACACACGTCGTTCTTCTAAAAAAAGTTCTGAAGTGTATTATGTATGAAACATAATAAAAAGGCAATATTTATCAATACCATCAGATGATTGAAAAGTTTTGTTTATTTTTAATAAGCTGTGTGACAATGTAGGAATTAAATAGTGATAAAAAGCAGGCAGAATATGAGATTTTAAGACTGTCTTAAATAATTTTTAGGCCAAGTCATGCCAAATTTCTATGCATTCGTTTTGACTCCTTCAGAGGAGAGAGGCATACTTCAGAACTACAAACTTTTACTAAACCAGTACAACAGTCTGCTCTCTTTGATTCTGTAAATAAAACTTCCATTTTTAAGGGTGTTAAGATTTTTAGCTAACAAATTAGTCCAAACTAAAAATGTTTTTCAGGTTGTACTTATTTTGTGAGGATACTTAAATTTGCCCTTTTTTAATGGATTAATGAAAAACTTTATTGTTTAGTGATGGTACAAAATTATGTATCTCTGTTTTATATCTAAATATCATCCATGAACACTCAAATCTCAGAAGTAAATGGTAAGACACATTTTTGTTTTAGAGCTAACATTTTAATGTATGTGAACTGTACAAACAACATTCTTCATTCTCTCATTCAACATATCCACATTTTAGATATCACATAAAAACCTCAGGCCAGATCTATACCTGCATAAAATGGCAGTAAATTGACTACAATAGAGATGCATTTATTCACGCCAGCTGAAGATCTGCGCTACTAACATTCTGTTAAGTTTGAAAGACTTGGCAGAACTGATCATTCTACTTACATAACCTCCACAATACATTTTGGTGTAAGTCTTCAAGTTCAGCAGAGCTCAAAGTAGGATTCACAATACTTAAAATTGCTATAAGTAATGCTTATTACTTTGAAGAGGACTGACTGGAACCACCCAATCAAACTGATACTCTTCTACCAATCACATTTGACTCCCAGGTAACAATGAAGTAGGAGCAACTCTTGGTACTGCACATTCCCAGATTTTACAGATTCACTATGTATACTTAGCCATTAATCATATATGACTAAGCAGGATTATTACGTAAAACAAATAGTATCTTATTGCGCTAATGTGTTGATTTAAGAAACAGAATTTAGCCAATCAAGGAATGAAGTATTAAGCTACAGAAAATACTTACGTTAATGATTGACTTCCAGCCTTAAAATATCTCTAGCTCATTTTTTCCTATGGCTGAGTCATTTAGTCCAGTATATATTTTATTGACTATTTCCAGCTGGCATGACATGGATGCTGTACTGACTCTACCTAATGTTTGTGTAGTTACCGGGTCAGATCCTCATTTGGTTTAAATTGGCATAGCAGTTGTCATAAAAATGATTAATATTCTAGAAAAAGGGCTAAACAGTGAGATGACAAATCTTATACAAAATTACTCCGGTTAGTTTAAATCCAAAGCAAACTGGAAAGAGTTACAAAGGAATCTCACAGAATTGAGTGACTAGGCAACAAAACAGCAGATTAAATTCAGTGTTGGTAAATGCAAAGTAATGCACATTAGAAAACCATAATACCAATTATACATAGAAATGATGTGACCTAAGTGAGCTGTTATCACTCAAGAAACAGATCTTGAAGTCACTGTGGTGAATTCTCTAAAAATATCTGTACAATATATAATAGTTGTTAGGGAAGGGGTAGATAAAACAAAAAATATCCTAATGTCATGGAATAAATCCATGGAATTCCCACATCTTGAATACTGTGTAATTTGGCTGCTAAATAAAAGATATATTGGGAAAGATATAGGAAAGAGGAACAAAAGTGATTAAGGGTATGGAATGGCTTCTAAGTGAGGAGATATTGAAATAGACTTTTTTTCAGCTTGAAAAAGAGGCAACTAATCAACAGGGTTATGATAAAGATCTATAAAGTCATGAATGACCTTGGCTATTAGCGAAGATGGTCATAGATACAACCCCCAGCTCTGGGTATCCTTAAGCCTCCAACTGACAGAAGATGCGAGTAGATGACAGAAATGGATCACTTAATAATTGACCTGCTCTGTTCATCCCTCTGAAGCACCTAGCATTGGCTACTGTTGGAAGACAAGATACTGTGCTAGTTGGATCATGATCTTATTGAGCACGTACTTAAAGCAACCTCCACCTTTATTCCCTTTGCTAATAAAATTATTATAATTTATTTACGGTGTCAGGAAATGTGACATTTCCTGAAATATCTTCCTTCATTCCTACTTAAAAGTTTAAAATACAGATGAGAGAACTAAGTGTGCATCCTAGGGTTTTATTAGAAAAGATGCTATTATGGGTTACTACGGCTATGTCTAGATTACAAAGATAAGGTGGAAAAAGATACGCAAATTGCGAACTGCAAGTTGCATATCTTTTTCTGCTTTTCTGTCAAAGTGGCTTTTCTGAATTTTGGCACATCTGCATGGTGTCAAATTTTGGAAAAACCTGCTCTTTAGACACATCCCTTTTTCCTTGTAGAACGAGGTTTACAGGGATGATGGAAGAGTGTGTCTGCTTTTTTTATTTTTTTTTAAAACAGACCCATTCCTTGGACATGGCATTGCTTTTCTGGTATACCCTGGTGTTCTGGAAAAGCACTGCAGTCTAGACATAGCCTACCAATGTTTCCTCCTTGCTGAGTACTTGGGTGGTCACTCGGGGGAGATTCAAATGCTGCCTGGCTGTTTAACACAGCACCAACAGCTGGCATAGTTGGCAGCATGTGATTCTACTTGTGGTGCACATCTGCATGTGCTTTGGTGCACATGGCAAAATTTATTCTCCGCATGGATGGATAAAATAGAGGGAACATTGGTTTCCACTGTTCTATCTAAAAACCTGCCAAGAGACTTAATTTTATTAAGAGATGTATATTACTTCAAGCTGAAATGAACTAAGAGTCTTAATTGTGTGTTTTTTTTTTTTAAAAAACCACTTGTATTATTTATAATGCACTTTTGAAAGAGCTGGTTCATTAATTTATTTAGGAGGTGTATTATGGCCTGGTGGATAGATCAATAGATTGGAACTCAGACCACCCAGTGGTCATCCTGGCTCTACTGCTGATCTGAGTGACCTTGGACATTCCTATGCCTTAATGTGCCTGTACGTAAAATGAGGATAATGATACTTGACCCCCTTTAAAAAAAAAAAAAAAAAAAAAAGAGTTTTGAGCTCTACTGATGTAGTATCATTACTATTGTCTATAAACAAACTTGGGATCTATGCTTTTCATTTTTCAAGGATTTTCCACTAGGGAACTTCTCTGGTTTGGGATGGTTTGTAGGATATGAGTGGCTGTGAATGTCAATCCTAACAAAAACCCTCCAAAATATCTGTATATTTCTGTATGCCTATGAAATAGGTAAGGCTTTTTAGCACTGTAGGATAGCGTCATAAGAACTAGCCCTGTATTCTGTCTTTCAACAGTGGCCAGCTCTAAGGGCTTCAGAGAGAATGAACATAACTGGCAATCACAGAGTGATCCATTCCTCATTGTCCTTTCCCAACTTCTGTCAGTGAGAGGCTAGGGACCCCAGGGCATGGGTTTGCATCCCTGGTCATCTTGACCAATAGCCACTGATGAATCTGTATTCCATGAACTTATCTAGTTATGGCCTTTACAACATCCCCTGAAAATGAGTTTCAAAGACTGACTATGCATGTGTGAAGAAGTACTTTTTTGTTTGTTTTTTAAGCCTGATGCCTATTAATTAAAGTTGTCCTTTTCACTTATCATAATAAATAAAACTACTGTCTTATACCACTTTACATTCCTTTACTTCAAGTGCTTTATAATAAATGACTTAGACATTCTATTCCCCATTTTATAGACATTTTATTCCCCATTTTATAGACAAGGAAATTGAACCACTGATAAGTTCAGTGACTTGCCCAGATTCACACAACAAGACAGTGGCAGAACCCAACATAGGTTTCCTGGCTGTCCTCATTTTGGAACAAATATTAGTTTCTCTTTACAGGCTCTGACTTTTTTTTGATTTCTTATTTTGCCATGAAGAGTAAATAAAATGCAGTGTGATTAATGACTAACATTCAGTACAATACAAAATGGATTATGTTTACAATATTTTAATCCTTCAGTGTCAAAATCTGCCATGATAAGGGACTACAGGTCTAAAACAAGAAAACAAAACCAGGATCTGTGGTATGCATGGCACATAATGTAAAGTCCAGACCCATGTGAAAAGGGCATACCTTTGTCGACTACGCCGTGTCTAGACTGCTGTGCTGGATCAGCTGATTGTCAGCACAGCTTGGCGGCCATGTTTATTTTAATGAAGTGGGGATTATTTAAATTCCCACTTTGACTATGCTGAATAAACTGCCAAATAAACTGTCGACAGAGCCATGTAGTCTAGACACACCCTGAGGTTTCCCCTTCCTGTTCCTTTTAAAGGTCCATACATGTTGCAGCTGATTGAGGAGTGTGTTCCTCCCCCAACAATGTTGCCTCCTATCAGAGAGGCTAACACTGCCATTTTGCCTTTCAGTGACAGTGAAGGAGGCTGGATTCCCTCCTCCTCTGCCCTGTTTGGTGAATATAAGAACGGCCATACTGGGTTGTACCAAAGGTCCATCTAGCCCAGTAACTTGTCTTCTGACAGTGTCCAACACCAGGTGCCCCAGAGGCAATGAGCAAAACAGGTAATCATCAAGGGTCACTCATTCCCAACTTCTGATAAACAGAGGCTAAGGACACCACTCCTGCCCATCCTATCCTCAGGAGGATCTTCCACTTAGACTCCTCTTTTGCTCTGTCTGATGAAGTTGATAATTAACATATTTAGGATTAGGAATTCAAATTGACATTTTTCTTTTTGGTGCTAATGGGAAGACTGACTAAAACGAACCCGGTGTAATGAATTTCTAAAACTTATAAAAATAATTTAATTAAAATGAGAACTAAAAATAAGTTACATTCTAAAATAGGATTATTTGATATTAATTGTTGTTGTTGTTCGTCCTGATATTAATTACAGAGAAATGAATATCAGTTATTTACATCTATGAAAAACAAAGTGCAAATTGAAGGCATTATAAGCTTCATGTGTTGCTGTAGAGATTTTTCAGAGAACAGAAATGTAATGGCCAAGAAACACACGTGTACTGCTAGCTTTTGTCCAGTCTACAGCAAATATGACAGAGTAATGTGTTACAGGCATGGGACTTTCTCTTTGTATCGCTAAATATACCTTGTAATTTTGTGGGGGAATCAAATATTATGCATCCTGAGCTGGTAAAACTGTAATATTACAACTATGAGGAGGAAGGACAGTGTGAGAATGAGTCATGGGAAGATAAAAGATAGTCAAAGAAGAGCTTAACTCTGCTAAGAAAATAAGAATGGCTATAATGGGTCAGACCAAAGGTTCATTTAGCCCAGTATCCTGTCTTCTGACATGACCAATGCCAGAGGCCCCAGAGGGAGTGAACAGAACAGGGAATCATCAAGTGATCCTTCACCTGCCATCCATTTCCAGCCTCTCACAAACAGAGGCTAAGGACACCAATCTTATTCATCCTGGCTAATAGCCATTGATGTACCTGTCCTCCATGAACTTAACTAGTTTTTTTAAACATTATTATAGTCTTGTCCTTCACAACATCCTCAGGCAAGGAGTTCCACAGATTGATTGATTGTTGTATGAAAAAAATACTTCCTTTTATTTTTTTAAAACCTGCTGCCTATTCATTTCATTTGGTAACTCCTAGTTTTTTTTGTTATGGGAAGGAGTAAACTACACTTCCTTATTTACTTTTTCCATACGAGTTATGATTTTATAGACCTCTATCATATCTCCCCTTTAGCTATGTCTTCTCCAACCTGAAAATTCCTGGTCTTATTAATCTCTCCTTTTTGGAAGCTGTTCTATACCCTAAACATTTTTGTTTCCCTTTTCTGAATCTTTT